CTGCAAGCACCAATGATCAGCTGGTTTTAGGGGGTTTACTGAGCTCTGTGCAAGGGGAGCCCTGCTAAAGATATAGATTTAATGTGCATAACATGTAATGCTTATATGCACTGAAGTTTAAAACTTACGTAAAGATTCGCATTTGCAAAGAGAAGTTTGCATTAGGCAGAAGGTTCAAATTTAGGTAAACACTGAAATAAGGAGAGGCTGGAGATTTTCGTTTTGGTGTGTATACTAAGTAATGACTCATTGCTGGGAAACCTGAGAGCTCTTATATCTCAGCTGGCATGGGAGCCAGCAGCAGTAAGAGCTCAGCTCAGCAATCCTGGGTGGAATCTAGACACATATAAAACATTCTTTTTTAAACGTTTTGAAAAATATATTGAATTTTCCATAAGTTCACCATCTAGGGTCACATTTGAATAATGTACTTAAAATGCACTTAAGACATTATATCTGCAGCTATATAGCTGAACAAACAAGTTGCTTGTATAGGATACCTCTCTGGAAGCAGGAATGTTCTTAAACTATATTAAGGACTTAAAGAAGACTGGACCACATTGTTAGTTTGTTTAAGAGCAATGTGTTACTTTGTATTTTTGCAACATTTATTTTGTAACTAGTTTGCAGCAATACTTTTTTGGGACTCTTTCCTATGGTAGAGAGCATGTATATTTCTACCCTGCACAAGGTCCAGAACAGGGATTCCATTTGCATCAATTTTAACAAGTCCCAATGATCAAATGACCATTGTTGCAAGCCCCGACAGCTTGCAAACAATCAGCTGGTTTCTGGTGCTTGCAAAGTGCTCTGCGAGGGCCTTTGTAGGTGCAACCTCCCACTGCCCCATAACAAGCTTTTGTTTTGCTTTTTAAAAAAATCCATGACATTGTGCCTCTCTGCATGTGAAACCCAAAGGAAGTACAAGGTGTTTAGGCTTACACTCTTTTTTATCTTTTTCTTTCCTTCTGCAATAACCATCCAGTGCAACATTCGAGAATGGGAAAGGTCTGTGTTGTCATCCCCATAGATCCAGCTGACATAGAGAAGGTTATTGAAATATTCAACTGAAGTGATTTCAGGAGATACTGGAGCTATCAGAAAGAAAAACAGTGCATCATCATCACCATCACCATCATTTGCACCTAATTTGAGGCTGCAAAGCATTTCACAATTAGATATACAACAGCAAACCCATGTTCCTAGTGTGGATCCTTATGTAGCCATAACAGTACCACCTACACATGACAGGGAAGCAGACTTAAGGGGAAATGGAAGTTTGCAGACATTAAGGGAATCTAAGCCGTGGGAGTGGGCGAAATTCCAAAACAACTCAGTGAGAACTCAGCATGCTCAGTGGCCACAGAATGCTGGCTGATTGCTGGGGTGTGGGAACAGAAAACCGGAGAATGGAATGGGGTCTCCCGGAAAAGGACATGGCTGGCTGGCTGGCACTCTGAACAAGAGCACTCAGCACTGCAGTATCTTGTTGTAGGCCACTCTATAATCCTGAAATCAGCAATGTGCTACAATTTCACAATGAAAGTACAGAATTTGGAACTAATGGCATCTTGAAAAGGCCTATCCTCTCCTTTTTTCGTATTAAAAAAAATCAAGGTTCTAGTCCCTGTTGCTGCCAACTTAAAAAACACACTAAAGCAATGCTTGGTGAAACATCAGATGTCACTGCAGATTTAAGAAAGTTCTACAGTGGTTTGCAAGCCCAATGGTTTCTTCCTATTAGCAAAGATCCTATTCCAATACTCTTATCCACTAGACCAGCCTTCCATAACCTGCTTTTCTTTTGGTATTTTGGACTCAAATTCTCACCAGCCCCAGTCAGCATAGCCAGCAGTCAGGGATGGTGGCAATTGTAATCCATCTCCATCTAGAGGCCAGCAGCCTCCACATTGTTGTCTTATATTAAAGAGGAAAACCACACACACAAACTGTGAAAGGTTCTCCAAAGCTCTATTTACCTGTTATGAAGCTGATGGTGGAACTGTCACAACAGCTCAGTTCTGGGACTCCCCATGTCACCATGGTGACCCGAAAGTTGTAATACCAGGCAGGCAGAAGGTTTCCTATTCTCTGAAAGATGTGCAAACAAGAAAAGGCATGGAAGAAAGAGAATTAGCACCTGAAAAAGTGAGATCTGAAAGAGACGCTAAGGCTACGTTCTGGATTGGACCTAGAATACCTATGACTGCCTAAAGAGTGTTTGGCATTGAATTGCTGTACATATTTATTTTAAAAGGTAAAGGTAAAGGACCTCTGATGTTTAAGTCCAGTTGCAGACGACTCTGGGGTTGCGGCACTCATCTCGCTTTACAGGCTGAGGGAGCCGACGTTTGTCCGCAGACAGTTTTTCTGGGTCATGTGGCCAGCATGACTAAGCCACTTCTGGCGCAACGGAACACTGAAACCAGAGCAGTGCACGGAAACGCAATTTACCTTTCCACCGGAGTGGTACCTATTAATCTACTTGCACTTTTGGGCATGCTTTCGAACTGCTAGGTTGGCAGGAGCTGGGAGCGAGCAACGGGAACTCACCCCGTCATAAAAAAGGCAAGAGTTTTACAACGATATCAAATATCATGGATAAAAAACAGTTAAAACAGGTATTTTGAAATATTCAGAAGAAGATTAAAATCAACAGTAGCTAAAATGAAATGAAACCCATGTAATTTTTAAGTCTCTGGATATGCTTGCCCGTCAAAAAACATGTTTTAAGCAGGCAAAATATTACAGTGAAGGCACCTGCTTGATGTCAAAAGGCATGGGGTTCCAAAGTGTAGGTGCTGACACACTAAAATGTTGATTCATTACCAGTGTGGAATGAGTATTATGTGCCTCTTGTAATAATGCCAGTTCCAGAGATTAAAGTAGTCAAATGTAGTTCTGTTGTTAAGCATAGTGACTGTATTTACATGAAGTTGCATTTAAAAAGGATATTGTTTTAGATTAATTTTGTTTCTCTCTGTGTGTGAACGATGAAATTTGGGCATGAACGTGTGAGAGACATTTACAGCATCCAAGTGTGCTTTACCACTGATGACGTTAAGGAGACGGTTGCTGCTATTTCGTAGTACGTTGTCCACTCCGAGGTCATTGTTGATGGGTTGAAATAAAACATTTCTACAATGTATTTCCGGAAAACACCCAGGAGAGGCCTGTTCCAGCTGAGGACCACAGCAGTGGGGCCCAAAGGGTAAAGTGTTAAATCCCTTATCCCAGTTGGCACTGTAAAACAGAAATGGAAAGCTATTAATACGTTTGCAATTCAGCACATAGAGTTTCTGCTAGAGGTGGGTCACCTTATTCCCACCTCATCCACAAGAGCTATTTAGTTATCATGCAAAAATCTGAGGTGAGGCATACAGTACTATACATGTGATCAAATAGGGGCCAAGCCAATGTCTTGGGTTAATAAGGCACACCCTTGGTCTCATTCCCCACCAACTACAGATATAAGGGGATAAATGGATTACCGGTGAGCAGGTTATCTGGACTCTCTCCTTCAGATTAGAACATGAAGAAAACATGCTACAGTTCTTGGTTTACAATTAAAACTGAAGCATAGATTATGGCTTGTTTTGCTCCAACAAACCATAATCAGTAAGCTATGGATCCATGGCTATCATAGTTTTCCTCTTGGTTGCCCTGGGAGGAAACAAACTATAATCCCTAATCCAGATGTAATGCTAAGACAGAGATGGTGGTTTGTTTCCTCCTAGTGTGAGGAGCGATGAGCAAAGTGGCCAGAATTGGCGCATTCCTGGCAAAGTGTTATCTGTGCCTTTCTGTGATGTACAGACAAAACCAATGTTTAACTCAACACATGGGCCTTGCAGGCTTCTACAGAAGCAGCACCACACTGATTCTTCTACCAATAATTCTTCTGCCTAAAACGTCTGGTTTCAAGCAACCAAAACAACAGAGGTATGCAGAGGTATCCCATTACCAATGGCAAATGTCACAGGATCGGAAGGAGGCCCAACCAGCGGTCCCTTCTGTAAGTAAATCACAACTTGGTACTGAGCACCAGGAACCAGGTTTTCGATAAAGCTGCTGCTTGTATTCACCTGCAGAAATGAGACAGAGCATGTGTAAGGAAAGGAAGGCATGTTGAGCATCAGGGCCAGCTCAAGACCTTTTGCTGCCTGAGGCAGAGCAGAAAATGGTGCCTCCTCCCTGCTCGAAATCAAGGTGCAAAGTAGCCAAGGCCAGCCATGTTAACTTTGGCATGTGAGCTTCATGCCACCCCAGCTGTGAAAATACAAAGATAAACTATATAATGCTCCAGCCTTTTCATGCCACTCAGAATCTGCTGCCAGAAGCACCTGTCTGATGGTAGGGCTGGATTGACAGTACAGTCATACTCTGGGTTACCGCTTCAGGTTGCGTTTTTTCCAGGTTACGGACCGCCGAAACCCGGAAGTACTGGAACGGGTTACTTCCGGGTTTCGGCGGTTGCGCATGCGCAGAAGCGCCAAATAACAACCCGCACATGCGCATATGTGCAGATGCGGGTTGCGAATGCTGCGGGTTGCGAACGTGCATCCTACATGGATCACGTTCGCAACCCAAGTATCCACTGTACAACCAATCACCTATTTACTCAGATGTAAGTTCCATTGCATTCAATAGCACTTTCTCCCTGGTTGAGTGTGCTTGGGAATGTGGCCGTACAGTGCTTTCCTGTGCATGTTTACTCAGAAGAGAGTTCCCCGGTGTTCAGATAGATTTACTGATCCTCTGATATATATTGAAGTGCCACTGATTTCTTCACAGCCAAACCAATGTCACTGAAGTCTTTCTGAAATACTCCATGAGTCAAGCTCAAGCAGCCCAGGAAACACAGCCATGTCTTCTTCACTGTGCCCATATCCTCCATGCTCCATGGTCACCCGGATGGCCTCCTTTACTGAGCATTCATCCTGATTTCTTTGTGCCACATGTGCTGGGAGGAGCAATGATTTCATTGTGGGGAGGTTAAGGGAAGTGCCATAGCTTGGTGGCAGAGCATCTGCTTGGCATGTAGAAGGTTGCAGGTTCTATTCCCGGCATCTCCAGGCAGAGCTGGGAATATCTCCTGCCTGAGACCGTGGAGAATGGCTGCCAATCATTCAAGAGAGTACCAAACTAGTAGGAATAACAGTGCAACTCCGTATAAGGAAGCCTCCTATGTCTGGATGCAATGCAATGCCAGATCAAGCAGTTGTTTCCTCTGCACAATCCTGACACTTTCCTTACCACAAATAACCCGATTCTTTGTTGCACAAGAGTGCCAATTCCACATTCACTGTGCAAACCCAAATTTGACAATATGCAATTCAGTCCCACCTGCAACTCAGTGACAGCCTGGAAAACGGTGTTTTCTTCCTCTTACCTCTGAGCAATAATGCTTTTCAAGCCTTTGACTTTCCTTCTGTTTCTGGCATGTCAAGGACACAACAGATATGATAGTGCTAGTGCTGCTGGTCTCCTGTGAAGTAGTCCAGGACAACGAGGCTGTGGTAGAGGTCAGCACTGTCGCTATGACGTTCTGAGGTTTCTCAGTGAGCTCTTCTATCAATTCCCCTGTGGGACCTAAAGCATCACCAGAAGCAAGGAGAAATCACCTTCAAAGGCTGGATCTCCCCACTAACTGAGAACCAGTGTTATTCTGGATCCAACCCACTGCCTTTAAAAAGCATACCTAAGATTCTTCACATGCATGCTTGAAAACTGTGAACAAGCGGTAGAAAATTTTGTGCTTGTCAGTCCATCACATCTGCATAAATTTATTGAAGAGAATCTAAATATGACATTGATGCCTTAAAGTGGGGTGGGGGCAGGTGGGCCTCCATAAATTCCTGGACTACAACTCCCATCATCCCTGACTTTTGGCCATGCTGCCTGGGGTGATGGGAACTGGAGTTTAACAACATCTGGAGGGCCACAGGTAATCTATCCTTGCCTTAAGGTCCCCAGTGCTCTCTCATTCAAAGGAAGCTGGACCTGGTCTTTACAGCTCCCAGAACTTTCAACTGAGGAACTGACTTGAGGAAGCACCCAAAACAATAAGAATCAGATTTAAACAAGGCAAAGGAGAAGTAACATTTAGCATTGATGAACTTAAGTACCGACCAGATATACTATTGCAGATACTGATGTATATTATATAACTATGTGTAGACTTACTAATATAAAAACTGAGTGTTTTGGCAGATTGGCTTTCCCGAACTTCACATGAACCAGAAGAGCTGAATGTTGTAACAGATATTGTGTATTTCCCTGGTTCTTTCAGATCCGTGGCAAATTCGTGAACGTCCTCGCCAACAGTCAGGAATTCTGTGAAGTTCTCTAAATCAAGAGAAGAGGTGTGAATTAGCTGGAATCTGACAGGGTTTCTAGTGACAGAGGTAACTGAATTATGTCCCAGTGCCTTAACACAGGACTGAAGGAAGGGATTAATTCTGGTAACATAATAATAATTAAATAAATAAAATTTTATTTATATACTTTTTCTACCATCTTGTAACATTACTCGAGAGGGTTATGAACGGCTGGAGTGGATGCATGGGAGCAAAGGGATATATTAAAAAATGGGACAAATCTCTTCGAGTGGTGCTAGTCATCAAGGAACGTGTTCGTGAAAGCATGAAAGTGAAAAGCAACACAACTGAGGAAGAAGAAGAGTTCAGGAGAGGCTTCTGCAATGTCTCTGGAGCTTCTTCTTGTTCTTTTTAGAGGCCACCTGGAGTGAGCGAAGCAGTGACAGGTGTGCCCGTGAGGCCCACAAAAATCCGAGGCTAGCTCTGAAGCTGCTCAGTGCTTTTGCTACCCTGCAGGTTGAAGGGGGTCTTTGCAAGATGTCTCTTGGTGGACCCTCTTCTCTTGCAGTGGGCCTGGCAGGCTAGACTGATGGGTGGGAGGTGGCAACGGAATCATTCTGAGCAGCCCTGGGCTGCTGGTTCAAGCCATTAATTTCCCACAATGCTATGGTGAAACACCACATTAGGGTCTTGGGAGCAATCAAATGGATGCTAGGCCAAACTATATCTAGAGACATTTCAGCAACTGAGGCAAAACACCCCCTGCCACCTCCATGATGGAGGCCCCTTGCAAAGCCTTGCCACCTCGTTGGGGTGGGGGCTCCAGAAAGCACTTTTCCTTAAGGAGCCCCTTTCCAACTCAGCAAGACTCAGCACTAGCACCAGTCCCTCTCCAACTCTAAGGTTGGGGGAGACAGGTGGCAAAGCTGAGCAAAGGAAAGCTGTGTTGTTCTGTTGCCACCAAAACCTCCCTTACCTGGGTGGCTTTGGTGGCAGGGTGAGTGGGTATGGTTCCCGCGGGGAACCACCTCTTTTGTTCACACCACCTGAGGCAGCTGCTTCATCCCGCCTCATGGGTGGGCCAGCTCTGCTATCTACAGTGGTACCTCGGGTTACAGACACTTCAGGTTACAGACTCCGCTAATCCAGAAATAGTACCTCGGGTTAAGAACTTTGCTTCAGGATGAGAACAGAAATTGCACGGTGGCAGCGGGAGGCCCCATTAGCTAAAGTAGTACCTCAGGTTAAGAACAGTTTCAGGTTAAGAACGGATCTCCAAAATGAATTAAGTTCTTAACCCAAGGTACCACTGTAGTACTATTTGGGAATGCCAGCCCAGAAAACAATTAAAGGATAGGTGAGAGAAAGGACAGGCCAGGCAACAACTAAGAGACCTGTTAGGGCCCAATGACACCAGGTTTCAATGCCAACCTTGGCGCCATAATTCTCAACAGTGCCATGTGACCTTTTACCTTCTCTCTCAATGTTGATATGGAAACCATCGAACGCCGTGGGCGGTTTGGGAGGCAGCCAACTCAGCACCATTTTCACTGGGAGGAACGAGGATGGCTCCGGCGTAGGGCTCCCAAACTCCTCGGTGGGGTTGACGCTCTCATAATCTCTTGGGATCACGTTGACAAACCCGTCTTCATTCTCTGGGGAGTCTGGCTCGTTCATCCACCAGTCGGGCTGAGACGTGGTTTCATAGTCGCTGCTATTGTAGCGGTAATCGGGCCACGTATAGGAAGTGTTCACAGTTGGGAGCTCAGGGAGGTCATCCAGAATCTGGGTGGCTTTGTCCTGTCGCATTGTCTTCTGCGTCCCCAAGAACGGCTCTTCGGGGAAACTTCCACTCTGCTCCTCCCAGTTCTCATTGAAGTTCATATGTAAGATACGCACAGAAATGTTTCGAGGTGGGTAGGGAACTGGAAAAGATAGAACACTTTTTCCCCATTTGCGTATCATGCATAAAATACAATAATAGATAATACTCATCAATTTTTGTTTCCTAGATCAGTGTTTCTCAACCAGTGCAAGTACTGTGGGTCACAAAGCTTTATAAGTGAACCTCAAATAGCCTGCAATCAGATGGTGTGCTTACATTCCCATGAGCAACACTCTGAATAACCTTATAAGTATTATACATATTTTAATGAATTCCACATTAATAGGGGCATTAAACAGTTTTTTCCCCTTGGATGCCTCAAGTAATGATTATAAAACAAGCAAATTTGTAGTTCAAATGCACACAATCAGTAGCTGCCCAAGACCTATAGTCCAAAATTCATGGGATAATAAATTAATGGATCACCATACCAGGTAAATTTGGACTTGTGGTTTGCCATACTAAAACGGTTGGGAACTACTGCCCTATGATTATCATGAACATAGATATGACACACACAAAAATAGCAGATATATTCCAAATTAACTCACATTCCCTTAAACTGCCTGACCTGCCTTTCCCTTCTCAATACTTTAACAAAGAGGTGTTCACATGTTATACAACAACTACAATATTAACGACTTCCATTCTTATTGACACATTAAATGATTTACAGTGGTACCTCGGGTTACATATGCTTCAGGCTACATACGCTTCAGGTTACAGACTCTGCTAACCCAGAAATAGTACCTCGGATTAAGAACTTTGCTTCAGGATGAGAACAGAAATTGTGCTCCGGCGGCACGGCAGCAGCAGGAGGCCCCATTAGCTAAAGTGGTGCTTCAGGTTAAGAACAGTTTCAGGTTAAGAACGGACCTCCGGAACGAATTAAGTACTTAACCCGAGGTACCACTGTACAAACGTACAGGTGAAGCATTCGAACTATATCCTTATTCTTCCTGTGTGTGACAATTACTCTGTCCATGATGTTTCTTCCTGTCCTTGTAAAATATTATGTCTATCTTTTCCCAGTTGCTGCTGTTCTCCATCATGCCTTGATCATGCTTGGCCTGTACTGCAGGTTAGCTATGGGGAGCCCCCATGTCCTCAAGACTACAACTCCCCTCATCCCTGCCCATTGGCCATGCTGGCTAAGGCAGATGGGAGTTGGAGTCTAATAACAATTAGAGGGCCACGGCATCTGTCTGCCCCATCCCGGGCACATAGGGTACAGGTCTTGGGGAGGCCTCTAAAGCACAGGTTCACAGCAGGGTTTCTCTCAGGCCAAAGGAAGAGGCTTCTGCTTATGGGGACAATGAATTGTATCTGGATACAATGTGCACACGACATACAGAAGCCACTTGTTCTACCTGTTCGGTGTTGCTTTGCTTCGTGTTTCACCCCACTGTATTCCACCAGGGTGCTTTTGCTGAATGTCGCTTCAGACACCAGCTGAAACGTGATGTTGCTGTAACATATTCCTGGCAGCCAGTGGTTGAAAACGGTTTTGCCTTTAAAGAAATCTGCAGGGTGGTGAATAAATGGCACAGATTACATGAGCCAGATGACCCGACGTCACAGCCTTAAGGAGACAGATATTGCTTGGCACAGTCTCAGAGATACAGGATTGTGTGTGCACTCAACAACATTTCTACACTCCTGCCCCCCCTCCGTGCCTCCACTCTTTTCTTCCTGGCTGTCAAAAGTACTTAGAAGCAAGACCCAGGAAAATAAACATGAAAGTAGGCAAAGGAATTGCAAGTGGCAACATACCAGACAACTACCAGACTTTTAGAAGACATCTGAAGGCAGGCCTGTTTAGGGAAGCTTTTAATGTTTAATAGGTTATTGTATTTTAATATGCTGTTGG